GAGCAAAGGGTCTCAGCGCGAAGAAATACTGCGGAGTGTGTGCGGCGGGAGGGTGTGCGGTGCGCAATTTCAAACAAGAAGAGATTTGCATTTACTTGAGCACAGAGACAAGAAGGCATTGGCATGTTCTTGCATTTACTGTCGTTCCTGGACTCGGGTTTTGGTATTGCAAATATTTCTGAACTTTGCTAGTTTCCATCTTCTGGAGCCTCTCAGAATGCCCCCCGCGGGGGGGGGGCGCTCGGAGATCTGTCGCAGAGACGGTGCAGGAGGGACAGGTTCCGAATCTCCTCCGGGAGGTGCACTCACTTCTTCCCCACCCCCGTCGTAGGCCTCCCCCGGGCAAGGGCCGCCTTGGGATCCTCCAGCCCTCTTCACCTTCGGCGTTTGTTAACCCCTCTCTACCGCAGTCTTCCCCAAACGGCTCCTTGATCTTTGTCCTCGGCCAGCAGAAGCCGGTCAAGACAGACACAGCCCTAGTCCTCCCCTGCTCTCTCTGGGACCGGCCGGCCCAGGCTTGCGCATTCTCTCACCCCCGCGTCCCTGAATAGCCACCAGCTCAACCCATTCAATAGCATAAATTTGAACCCAGCGGCCCTCCAAGCCCAGCCCCCACAGGCCCCCCTCGTGGGCAAAAGATTATAAAGGGACAGAGGAGGCGGAGGAAGGGGACTAGAAAGAATGAAGGCGCGTTGTGGACCTGTAACCACCCCACCCCCGTGAGGGGGGCTGCACCTGTGAGCTTCTAAAAGTAAAAAAGTCACCCAGACAATCCAGGCGAATACGTTTCTCAGAAACCGTCTTTCCCCCCGCCATCCCGCCGCCTCTCCCAGCTGAACCCGAGTACCCAGGCATCTCTGACTGGGGCAGATCCAGGAGAACAGTTACCCTCTCCCCGCTGCTGGATGGAATCACAGGTAGCTGAAGTTCTGTGTGATTCCTTCCTCAGTCACCCTGAGTTTAACATCCTCGCTTTTAGCTTGAATCAGAAGTATCTGAGTCCGGAGCTGGGAGAGGGCGGTAGGCCCAGGGGATAGCGGGCTGCCACCGAGCTGTAGCCGAGACCCACACCTGGGGATAGGGAGCCAAGGCTGGGCACTCCACTCCCCACACCTACCCTTTGGGCTTTTTCTGCAACCTTGGAATTTACCAAACAGCTCCCATTTAGTTTTCAATTAAAATGCAAATCATCCATTTCCAAACAAATTTCCCTCGCCCCCGTAGAGGCACGCACAGGTACAGATCTGTGCTCTCACACGCGTATTTATACGGTGCAGGGCTACCACAGGGTCCGTGTTCCATTCTTGGGGTGGCCGGAAGAGTTTGTCCTCAGTCTTGGGCAGGATGGTGTGGAGGTGTGGGGTCCCCAGGGAGACCAAGCCCTGACTTGGAAGCAGTGCTTTAGACGCCGGGAGCGGGCTTCCAGCCCTTCCAGGCCAGCTTGTGCGGTGCGTGGTCCCAGTCGTCTCACTGGCGGCGCGAGCCCAGGCCTGGTAAGTGCTCACTCCCCAGGGTAGTACAGCCTCCTCCGGTTGCCAGCCCTTGCTCCTCAGCTCGCAGCTGGGACAAATGCCACCACGATGTCCCCAGGATGAAGGTGCACAGACAGTAGAATTTGTACTGTTACATTTAGTAGCACTCTTTTAACTTGGCCATGTAAATGACAATGGAAAGAAACTTCTTCCTGGGCAGCTTTGCAGCCTTGTGCCCATGGTAGAATTCCTCTGGAGTTGGAGAGGGTCGACCCCTCTCATTTTTCTGTGTCTCTTTTATACCAGATACCAAACTGTCCACAGGAAAAAACTCCTCTCCCGGTTACAGTGTTTACAGGCGATAAAAGAGGAAAGGTCACTTTCTGAGACTGAAGTTTGGGGCTCTCCAACCTCTCTGTCTTGGGTCTGGAGGACGTGAGGACAGCCCGGGAGCAAGACAGCAGGCAGGGCGCTGGAATCCCTGCGGGAGACGCGTCCGCGCCCAGCTCTGGGCTCGCTGGAGGCCGAGCCCTGGTCGGAATCCTCAGCATAACACACTGATGCAAGGCGTCCTCCTGCCCAGGTCGGATCTTAGAGTCTACGAAAGGATGGGTTTACCCAAACCTCGAAGTTAACAAAGAGAGGAGGGAAGATCACTTCTATCCCAGAAGTGAATAGAAACAGCAAAACACAAACCATGCCCGCTGCACCTCAAGCCTCAAACTCAACCCAAAGCCGACTGACTGCGTTGACCGAGCTTTGGAGACGCGGGTGGGGAGTGGAGCGAGCCCGCCCGACTTCCCGCCGGCCGAGACAGCCTCTGCCACTGTCGGCCAAACTCAGTCCATCCCGGGGCTGCTCATGTTCCGCGCTTGGGCCACTGATAGCGGTTTTCTCTCTTTCCCCGCTCTGCAAGTTCGGATTCACTGATCCCATCCAAATTGCTGAGGTGCATTCGAGCTCTCAAAACTGTCCGAGTTTTTTTCTCCCAGGTACAGTTCAACCCCGCCGGGAATTTAGAGGCCCGCCAGAGGTGAGGAGTCGGAGCAGCAGTGACGATGAGAACAACCATCCTCCCCTACACTCTGGACCCCGGCGCCGCAGCCAGGGGCCACTACGACGCCGTCTACACCGCCAGCTGGAGGGCTTAGTTCCCGGCGGTGCGAGGGTGCTTCTGCCCATGAAGCCTGCGCTTGAGTCCCGGGGATCCTGCACCCATGCAAACCCAAAGCGAGGGAAGGAGAGGAAAGCTGTATTTGGGGAGACAGACAGATGTTCCCGTTAAGCGGATGGATCCCCTGCCAGAGAACTGAGCGAACCCAGAAACGGCCGTGATCGCGGGCAAAGGGGAGTCGAGAGCACTGAGCAGGTAGGAGGTGGAAGATGGGAGAGAACCATGCTTCGGCCTACAAGCGGATTAAAGACCTCTATAAGCTTAGGGAGCAATAAATTAATTTACACAGCTCTGGATGGCCTCTGATTAATCCCTGTACGGGAGGGAACGGCAGGGTCGCAACAGCCCCGTGGGCTCAGACCCACTGGAGCTGGGGGGGGCGGGCAGACTTATGAGCTGCTTTCCCATAAAAGGTCTGGGTTTTATTATGCTTCTCTTTAAAAAGTAATACCCTCTCCGTCCCTGCTCCCCCTCCCTTTTCCCACTTTATTTAGCACAATTAATTGAGGCTGCCGCGGGCCCAGCGGCAGAACCGCACAATCGCCGGGTACCGCCCCTTTTGGCTCCACCCATGGGCGCTGGAGGCGGGAGGGGGAGGGGACTAGGCGGGCGAGGCCCGACGCCCCCCTAACCACAGCCAATCGAAGGACGCAGAGCTCCTGAGTGGGCGGGCCTCAGAGGGGCGACCAGAAGCCGGAGGCTGCGCCCGATTGGAGGCGCTGAGGACGCCCACCCCACCGGCGCCCTGTACGGCCCCGCCCTCGCATCCGAGAGTGACGTCCCTCAAAGTTGTGCGTTTGGGCCCCGCGTGCCCTCCCCGCGGTCCGCACTAAAGAGAGGAACGGAGGAAGCGAGTGTTTTATTACCTCTGAGCACTCTGTCCGAGCTGTCAGGCCGGGCAGCGAGGCCGAGAGGAGCCGTGGAGGTCCGGCTG